GAGATCTGAACAAAGGTTAAAATATATGACAGGGAGAAGAGACAAATAAATGAAAATACTGTCCAACAAAAAAACTGTGGAGGTATTTTCATCGTTCTCTTTCCATTGCAGTAGCAATAACTGAAAGTCATCAAAACTTTCTGGTACATACCTCACAGGTAAATTAAAATTCGTATTGCATTCCCATCTAAATAGAACTTACTCGGATAGAATAAGATCGGAAAAGTACTAAATAATCCAGACTTTGTACTAGGAAATGCTAGCAAAAACCCACAAGAATGTACACTATCGACTATGTATAAACTTTATTTAGGAAGCTGAGAGCACATTGAAGCAAACAGTCAATGAGGAAGAACTAGGAAAATATCTACTTATCATTTATAAAAGGAATGGCTACCCACACAACTTCGTCAAAAAATATCAACCCATTCATCAGCGGAGACGAAATGTAGCTCAAAAATTAGCGAGCATATCATCATGCCGTATGTAAGAGACATATCGAAATTTTCGACGAGATTATTGAAGCCGTTTGGAATACGTGTAAAATATAAACCGCCAAAGTCACTTCAGTCAATCTTATTCAACCATGAAAATGTTAAAATTCTGGACAGAGGTTATATTAAGAACACTAGAGAACTTTAGAACGTTGGGAACACGTCAAGCGGTAATCAATAAACAATCAAACAGCCAGATAAATATAGAACCAAAAATCATATCAAAAGGAGATAACCCCAATAACCAGGACGAGTATAACAGGTTAAAAGTCAAAAATAACAGATCAAGATCGACGTAGGCAGGACCAACTGAGTGTCATATTTAAAGAAATTCGAATACTTCACTTTCATGTTGAGTTTGTGCTTAGCATGTTGTTTTGAAAAATGTTGAAGGCTTTTCAGCCCAACAATCCAGGTCGGAGAACGAAACTACAATAAATATATCCTTATGAGCTACAAATGGTCTCAACCACTTCATAAACGGACTCTACTGCAGATCATGAGCCAGGTGGAACGAAATTGAGAGTATTATTGAGCGATCATGTATATCAAGCGGTGTCAGATAGAACTTTCAAACATTTTATATTTACTCACTAAAGTATGTCTTGTTTACCTCGTATTAATGCATTCATCTTAGCGGCCTAATCGCCAATATCTAAAGCAGATTATGCAAAAATTTATATCTATTAATTGTAATGAATAATTTCAACGTCGGTTATCTTAACTGCTTGCCGAGCTTCTTTTTCCTCTCGGGGTTTTCGGGCTGAAAATCTAGCATTGGTGTTTCGACTGCATACGTAAATCTTCTTAGAAAAGTGTTATAATTGTACTATCCAAACTAAGATTTGGCTTGAAGAATAGCTGTCTAGGTGGGTTAGATACGCGCCCTTGCCTGGTTGAAACCAAAACGAACTGGTTGGGTAAAATGACGGTTCTGAAATTCATTATGAATTTTAATGTGCGTCGTTATATAAACAAATATGACCACACGGTTATTCAACCAACAATTGTTCGATTAAACAAATCTAAACTACAATAGATAAGGAAGCTGATAAAGGATGCGAGGAAATTACCAATCACTACAAATGAATGTTATTCTATCCTGTCTGGATAGATCGCGAACAGATTCGTTCAAAAGATAATATTTGGTTCATTTTAACACCGAGTGTTATTGTGAAATGCTTGATCCAAGCTGGCTAGTAGTTTCAAGGGACGTGTGACACGGCGTACCAATCGTGATTTGGTACGGATGAGTGATGAAATCCTTCGGCTGGTGTGTGTTTAGTAGGATCAATGAGTTCGGCATCAATGTTGGAGACATGCAGAACTATTTATTTCCGAGATTTATTCCGTCACATTTTACAGTCCAAATACTCCTGCAAAACATGAATAGTGCAATATACCACAAGTAAAAAGGATGACTGTTCCTATAGTCTGAGCGATAATTAACATTAAATCGGAAGGGTAAATAATGATATACATATTACAAAATTTACTTATATCTGACTGATTCTGAGACTTGAGTGCCTATCCAGTAATAAACCAGCCTGCTGGATGACGCACTACATTCTATTTCCGGATGAAACAAAGAACTCACACGCTAATATTTTGTAATGTTGAAACGTTTTACTTAAGGGTCAACTCCGCTATTTTTAAACTCGATTAGATCTAAATTGATTAAGCAAGGCTAGAATAAGAGTAGTATCAGAATAATATCAGAATTAGACATCGCTAAGATTGATATATACACAGAGATTTGAAATATCACCCGCGAACATATTAGGATAAAATAGCACTAGCAATAGAATATGAAGCAATCGTATTCAAGTGAAGTAAGTTCTATCAGAATTAAGCTGGTCTAATTTTAATTGTTTGGAAATGAATTCAAAGTGTGCAGAATATCACATTTTTAAGTCATCTAATTGTATTGTAGTTAGTGATTACGGTCATGTTTCCTTTCATCCAGTCACTTGACCAGAGATACTTCGGGATAACTTCCACTACATAGTTAATCGGAGGCATGATGTTACTGTCGTGATTTTTCTATCACGACCGACTGCGCGGCAACTGACACACCCGTGGCACGATGAAATTATATTTTTATTGTAGAAAACTGCATTTTTGTTGGAGGCCAGAAAGATCTTCAGAGAACGAAACACGCTCTTCATAGATTGTGGTAGCGAAAATAATAAATTCCACCCAAATTTGACTGGCTGACAGGTTCAGAGTCAAAATCAAGAGCGGAGCTTGATCTAGCCATCAGTTGGTAAGCGTGTTTCAAAATCTAATGGATCAATATAATACGAGTTTACTGTCAACATGTAGATGGATTAAAACAAAAAATATCGAGATGATAAATATATTGGGCAAACGAATTAATTAGACGACTGTGCACAAGTCAAGCAATCGAATAGAACTAATGGATTTGAGAATAGCGTGCTTTGCCAGATATATAATACAAAATGAGTATACAATAGTGAATATAACATGCGTGGTATCTGTGCGAACTAATGATTCTTTTGTACTTCAATGCCAGAATATTACGCACATTTGTGCTTATTTATTCCTATCTGGCTTAAATTGCACTAATTTGAGGATCCTTAGTTGGTACATTAATTCGAATACTGCCAATCATCATACATGTCTATATCCAACACTGCATATAATGTTTTAAAAATAACTGGGAATCCTGTATTTGACAATATATCTAATGAGAAAAGAATGGATAAAATTCTAGAACAGGTGGGTATCCCCAACAAGTATACAAAATCCAGGTTTTGCGGCTTCTACACACCACTTTAACTGGGCTATTCCTAAAAAGAACCGCTATGATGTCTGACGACGTCACACTTTGATTTATAAATGATGAGAAGAGGACCTTACGTTAACAGTACCAAAACAGGTATCGTAACTAAGACTTATCGCACATCACTTTTCATTCACGTACAGTGCACTATCAAAATATAAGCTCTTTATCCGACGAAGCCCTTAAATACACACTTTCAACTACTAGTTCTCATTTCGTAACTTAGTAATTTTTTTATGGGAGGCTGAGATTTCTCGACCTGGGACTTTTTTATACTAAAGACTTTATGGTGATTTTTGATATCTCTTTTGAACTACCGCAGCTAATGTAAACTATGTTAATCATGACTAACAGTCGAGGATACGATGTTTACCATGGACCGGGAGTTTAGAAAAACGGAAATAGTTCAAAATAACAAACCCAGTGTCATTTAATTTTCAAATATCAAATTCTACGGTGAGCTATAGGTCTAACGTTCGTAACTAGTAATCAACGTGGGATAAAAACCAACTGACTAGATACACGTATTAGAATTCTTAATTACGCAATCTTTCAGTTTTAAAGCATTAAGATATAGTTTGAAATCGGTAATATTGGGTTAGATTAAGAGGGTAAAAATTGACTCTCACTAGAAAGAATTAGTGGACTATATGCGGGCCAGAAATCCAAGAATCAGGAAGACAACAACTAAGGAATCTTATATTTATTTCTGAACTTTGTTTATAAACAGGACTAAAAATCTATATACATCAAAAACCTAAGATTGCTGTTATGAACTAATACTCGTGATCTGTCAACATCACAATATATTTAGTCAGTAAATTAGTGATTCTCCAGAAAGATAACTTACAAGTTGCATACAGGAATGTGACTGTCGTGCTTATAATAGATACCGTGACCTCCTTATGATGAATATTCTAGTTTCACTAAAGGTCAGATTAATTTCAATAGCATAGAATGAACACTACAGAATCCGTAATTTTCTCTTATCCATCAGTTTGAACTGCAATAAGGAAGTATACGCACTGAATTTGTCCCAAGCCAGTTTATTATTCACTTGCTAATTCTAAAAAAAATATATTTTACATTTACAGAACCAGGTATTGCAGACTACCACCATCGACTTTATCAAGTGTACAGCTACAAAATCACAAGACCAAACAATAACAATACAGATTTGTCAAAAATTCCTATAAAAAAGAATGGATAAAGATTGAATAACATATGTCCAAAGGGTGAAAGTATTAAAGAGTGAACACTGGGTTTTTAAAAGACTATAGATTTCATGCAATTTAACTAACAAGAAAGCATTCTCCACCACTGTACACAAAAAAACAGATGTTCATCCCAATGTAATTTCTAATCGAAGAATTATGGAAATCTGCCACCATAATACAGGGTAATGCAAAGATGCACAATTCAGAGACTAACAAAAACTCTACAATAGAGATGAAATCATCAAACTGTTTACATTCCAAACAAATCAACACCACATAATATATGATACCACTTACAGAAGTAATTAATGGTCAGTAGTATCACCCATCTTCATTAAAAAAATATCTCAAAAAATCCAGAGAAACCACTTTCTATTAGGTTCTTTTAAAATGACTGCTTTAGCAGCTAACTCATAATGTACAAAAACATAAGGTCAATGAAAAGAATTCTATGTTCATTTTCCTAAAGAGTATAAAATATTTGTACGCTACAAATTGTTTTGTTTATTTATTTATTTATCGTTTAACCAGCTAACTAACTACCCCAGGTAGTATATCCGACTTTTGTGTATCATTATATTCTGGAGTTGTGATTCCTGGAATATGAAATTTAGCTTTTTTGGCTTCAAAGAAAGTATAATTTAATACAATTTCTGAACATCTTTTTAACCGCCAATCTGAACTAATTTCCGGATCAAGGAAGAAAAATACAGGCAGATCAACCTGGAAAAGAAATATATAATAATAATAAATGATAAATCTTTTGACTGAATACTCGAATCGGTTTCCTAAGCTCTCGTAATAACCGCATGCTAACTCAACACAACTTAAACACGAGAGAAAATGCGCGAAACGTGGAAAGAAAGCTTTACTTCAAGGTTAGTTTATGTACAAAAAATTGAGAACATTTATAGCATTTCAGACGGCCTTAGGCTTCTGGAAAGTTCTGGAACCCTACTTAACATATCAGGATAGGTAACTACCCAATCAGAAATGTGACGCATAACTTTACTTCCTAGATGTTTCTGAGAAACTTCTATTCAATGATGATTGGATGAAACGTTTCCCAGTATTTCCAGGGCCCCTTTGGGCATTCTTTGAGGAATGTTCAGGGTCTCCCCAATAATAATAATAATAATAATAATAATAATAATAATAATAATAATAATAATAATAATAATAATAATAATAATAATAATAATAATAATATGAACATTGAACACATTCAAGGTGTGATGTATAAAGTTGACCAGACTATCAACAACAACCTACTGTGGCAGTGAACAAACCAGATTCTAGTTGAAGTGAAAATTAGGAAAAGGCTCTGGAGGTGGATAGGATACACATTGCGGAAATTATAATACTGCATTACAAGACAAATCCTGACTTGAAATCCTCAAGGCAAAGGAAAAAGAGGAAGACCAAAGAACAAGTTGCCCAGGGAATCAGTGGCAGACATCAAAAGGATGAATAGCACTTCGCAACAAATGGAAAGAACCCAAGACAGAATGAGTTGGAGAATGCTGGCTAGTAACCTGTGGTCCACGAGGCATAATGGGTAAGTAAGCAAGTAAGTATAATGGTATAAAACTACCAATTGTACTCGCATTGAATGATGAGATAAACATTTATTTAACATCAACTTTTAAAAAAAAGTTACGACGATAGTACTACTAACTCTAACACTTAGGAACGGCAGAGATGAAAAGTTGAATTTCAAACGATTGAATTTCAAGATCAATATGTTAGGCGTTGAGACATACCTTTTTTCTCTCAAACAGGGGGTTTCTCAAATCGAAGTGGGCGACAATGGGGTTCAAAACTTAAGGCCAACAAAATTCATTGGCTGTGATTAGCAGTGTAATCTAGAACGAACGTTCTGTCTCATTCAGGACGTGTCATCCGAGTGTACCTGCACCCCAGTGTTGGTATTCACATATAGACTGGAACCTAGTGATTATAACCACTTGTCCATTGAGTTACTGACATCAGATAGCTACTAACTTGATCAACAGGTATGATTTTTATATCACTATTAGTAGTGATTTGAATTAACTCACTGTTGGTATGCCATTAAATGTGTGCCATTACTTCTCTTCAAGATGATTTAGCAATTAAATTAAGAATTTGATAAAATATCTCTCGACAACATACCCTTTCCCCTCCTCACCCTTCTCTCATTACATACACGGACTCTGATTTATTTGATATATATATATATATAAAAGACTTTTCTCGTAAAGTAACGATAGTGAACGCTTACCTTTTCGTGAGGATTAAGACGTTGCTCTTCGAAACAGAAACACTAAATGAAATACGGTGTGAAAAATTGGAAGACATGAAATAAAATTTTAAAAACAAGGTTATAATTAGTAGTTTTATAGTATCTAATTTAAATTTACAAATTAATGGTTTGTTCACTTATAAAGTCAATATAGTAATTATAATAAGACAGAACTCAGTAGCTAAATGTAACTGGATTTATGTAAAAGATCGTGATTAGCCAAGTTTACTGCATACCATTAAATTATACTATAATGCGGATATTGAGACTGAAGTACATATAATGTGACTAGCTTCACTTGAAATGTACAAGTTTCCGTACTCAGTCTTGAGAGATATTATTTATGTTAGAGGTGAGTTAACGAAACTACCTAGCAACTTGAGAGAATTGGAAGGCTGGTTTGAACATGCGACCTACAACTCGATTGAAAACCGAACGATTCACCTATCAAAGAAATTGTTCTGAAGTGAGATTGATTAGTACATACGAATTAATCCTACTGGAGTTATGTTCATACATAAATAATGCTGACAACATCCGCTGCAAGATGATTGGATAAATCTTACGGATTTCGTCCCAACAGCTTTCATGCCAAATGTTATTTGTTGACAGTAGGACTTGGTTGAAGAGCCCCCAAATGCCCTGGTACGGCCGAGAGTGGGGAGAGTACGCTCTCCCTCTCGAAATGCTCTCATATGGCCATGCGTATATAGCCTCTGCCAGGGAAGTCCTACTCACTGCCTTCTCGTGGCGGGGATGTTGTTTACGAAAATGAGAGGACGAAAAGCGAATGTCCGGCGCTTTAACCGGACCCCAAAACAATGGTGCACATGGGCTCCAGTATCCTGCGGGAACAAATGGTGTATGAACCAATCGTTGGTCACCGGCTACCATGGGACTGCATCTCCTTACGATGCTCCACTGCCTTGTGGGTCAGACGTTCAGGTCGAAGGCTCGGGACGTGGCCCCCTAAGAAAACCACCTGCTTCGGTTTGGGCACCCGGGCAGCATCCCAGCCCTCACATAAATCGAGATTCATGTGGCGCATATGTATTTTGTGCCTCCTTGTACCAATACCTATGTGTTAAAATAAATAAATAAATAAAATAAACTTGGTTGAAGAAGTGGAGAAGTGATTAGTCTATAAATATGAAATATAGCCGTAAAGAACTTGAACCAGTTGGCCTATAAGAATTCCCATCATATTTCATATCCTAAAGACTATAAAACTCATCCGACTTAAGATGTCATCGGAAACATTTCAGAATGAAAGTGTGCAACAATGTTAGCTGAAGTTCTTTCAATTACCCCCAAATGCCCTGGTACGGCCAAGGGTAGGGAGATTTGGAGCTTCTCAAAACGCTCTCATATGGCCACATGTATATAACCACTGCCACAGAAGTCATACTCACTGCTTTCTGAAGGCAGAAAAGTTGTTTACGAAATTAAGAAAACGGAAAACAAATATCCGGCGCTTAAAACGGGTTGGTGGGTACGAAGAGTCAATCTAGAGAAGTTAGATAATCAAACCAATGGTGCACATGGGAGCTAGGATCCTGAGGTAAAAATGGAGTATGAAATTAATCTTAGTCACTGGGAACCATGGTGCCCCAACCCCTTGCTTTGTGGATTAGATCTCTAGATTAAAAGCTAAGAGCGTGGCTCCCTAAAAAAACCACCTGCATCAGTCCAGGCAACTGGAAATAACCCAGCCCTTACACAAACTTTTTGTAGCGCATAGAGGCGGCCTGCTCGAATATCTAAGCTGCTCGTTCCTGCCATTTGTACATTTCAACAAGTTATCTTTTTGCTTGCTTTTTTTAACACATCATTATGCCTATTAATCTTATAACCTATTCAGGTGCGTTTGTGAAAAGTTTACGATGTTACAAAAGAGCCCAATCAAAGATATCGTGGTTGCTTGTTATATGCACGAACGCTTTTAAAAGTCTCATTCCTTATTGGAGAATATTCAGGTTTAGATTTTATCCTTCAAGTTACTGTAAGTATGAGAGCCATTAATACTGAACGGGTATCCAACTTGAACAAGAAAGAAATAGAGTTTGAACCTGTAGTCTTTTTTGATTGAAAACCAAACCGTTAAAAGCAAGAAACCATTTAGATTTGCATAACTACCAATGTAGCATGTCTTATCCGCTAAATAAAGCTGTAACACTAGACAGTGTCCGTTTATCAGCCGAAGTTGTCTAACTACAATTCCATCTTCACCCTTCATTTTCCACTTTTTCATTCTTAAAACCTGTCACCTTTTCTGAAAGGAATATTTATTTATAGATTACGCCTAACATAAACAAGTTCATTCACCGAATTACGTAGTCTATCAAAAACAAAAATTCATCCATTTCTATTTGTTGGTTGAATCTTTCCACTGATGTCTAGGACTGCAATCGATCAGTCCATTTTTGGCATATGTACATCCTGTGCGGATTGCCCCGATGTTGCCATTAAGCCACAAGCATTATAAGTAGAGATGGATGATAGCTAGCAGTGGGATCCAAGACGCGCGTTTCGTCCTATTCGGAACTCCTCAGCTAGGTGTATTCCCATCCCACAGTAGATGTTTGCTCTGGGACTCGAACCCAGTACCGTTCTGTGTGTATAGAATGCACACATGCCAATAAGATAATGATCAGTTGCAGTCCAAAACGTCAATGGGAAGGTTCAAACAACCAATACAAATGAATTAAACTTTACTACATTACATGAGCTAGTAGCTATGTAAACTCAGTAGCTAAGTAGAGATAATGCGAATGGCACAGGGTTCGAGTCCTAGAGTGAATATCAACTCTGGAATGCAGATGTACATCCAGTTGACAAGTTTCAAATAGAACGAAACGCACATCCAATGCTAGTCAACATCCATCTTTGCCTATAATTAATTAATTATATATAAAAATGAATAACTTACTTGTATTTTATGAAAATATTTCGATGCTTCAATTGGTACAACAGAATAAGTAGCAATGCCAACAATAGGTTTATCAGTTGGATTCTCAGCTGTATAAAATGCCAATGCTGTTTCACCAGGTACAATTCTTAACTACAAAGGTTTTTTTTCGTTATTATTTTTGGTAAATAAACACAGATTGTCACATAGAAATCTATATAAAATATACACAAATAATTTTGCTACAATTTAAAACTGCAATATAAAAAACAATGATTTACTTTGTTTAAGATGGATCTGTTCAACACTAAGGAGGATTCGGTTAAATAACTGGCTATTTTCCCCATACTTGTACAGTATAAACATAGGGTCTGATGAATTGGTATTTAACCATTGATATCTCGAGCATAGAATTTTCTGACTTCATATACTCAGTGTTTTATTAAAACATTCTTGTCTTTGAGATCATAAACTGATCTAAGTTAGACCACCGTTGAAAACCTAAGAGCATTGAACGGCCGTTTCGTCTTAGTATGCAACTCCTCAATAGGAATGAGCATACACAATCCCGTACGCAAGACTCAAACTCAGAACCTTAGGTCTTGCGCGCGAACGCTTAACCTCTTGACCACTGAACCGGCATCTAATTATGTTAATGTGAGGCATCTACCCACCGAAGACAATGGAAGATGGTCGCGCAGTATTGCGGATTGATTAAAGTTAGACATTTACACTGTTGGATATCGGCTCAGTGGTCTAAAGGTTAAGATTCCGCGTGCGAAACCACAAGCTCTGAGTTCGATCCCCATGTGTGGGGTTGTGGATGTTCGCTCCTACTGAGGAGTCTCATATTAGAAGGAAACAGCCTTCCAATGTTTCCAGGTTTTCAATAATGGTTTAACTTAAATCAGTTTATAATTTCAACATTCTCCACACCTTCATACTGAAAGCATTTATATGCCAGATAATTATTTCTGTTGATTATTGGAGATATCTGTAGAAACAAAAATAATTTCACAAATTTTCATTTATATTTCTTTTTTATAGACTGTTCAATTTTATCTCCATGATGTCCTATGTAAATAATTGATAATTTTCTGTACGTATTGCTTATATGTATTAATTTATTTGTACTTAAATTAACCACCAATTACATTCACTTCTGATGTTCACTTGGTATGCTAAATACAATTTGTGATTAATTAATCTTCTGTTATCTTAAGTTTGTTCGTGAATTTTCATATCAAATAAGTAACTGGTGCATACATACGTTTTAAGATAAACTACATTATGTACGATAATTGTTCAGATTTTTATCTTCGACGTACCGAGAAGTGACATATTATTAAATATCTGCTGACACTCAGGAGTTTTTGAACATTTCGCAAATTCAATGGACTCATTTATGGTGTTCACATTCAGGACTATCAAGTAACATTAGTTTTTCTATTCAGTGTGATAATTTTATTGAGGTGATATATATGTTCTTCTTATTTACATTCTATTTTTATCTACGTGTACTATAACGTCAGGATTTGAGTTTACTTTTAATAGTCCTTGATTTCGATTACTACAACATCTGCACGTGAAATGGCGTGACGAACATCTGCTACAACGAACATTCATTTAAAACTATGTCATGAACAGAAGTCTAAAAGTGAATAGTTGCCCACAGAAAGATTTTATTTTAATTTTATCAGTTAGCCTGAGACAATATTTGTTGCTTTTACTAGCTGGTCGGTGCGCTAATGTGACTAGGACTATACTGAATTCGACACATGTCTACTAATAAATGAGAACCTGAAGTCTTATTCAACACATAACGCGACTAGAATGTTGACCAGCAACACCCACAATTATTCTTGTCTGGCTAGTGCATTTCCTGATACGGCAGGGAACTGGAAGAACCTGCAATTTGGCACACATTTAGTGGCTCTATCATTATACCGGCGATAATACCAACAAATTTCGTCTTTGTCGTTCAATGCTTTTGAACTTTTTCAACTGGGGAGCACTTTATGGGTGGTGATCGTCCTCTGATGGCAGAAATATTAGAGATGGAAGTTTGCAAAGTTTAAAGCTCCACCGTAACATTAACTAGAGTTGTAGTGTAGTGTGCACGTATTTCAGATATTTCTGTTTGTTGTGCAGAGGCTAGGACTAGCTGGAAGATTCTTTAAATCATTACCTGTTCGAATATATGGAGCATCGCCTGGAGTGACTTCCAAGGTCTTATCTTCCATGCCAGCTAGGTTCTCTAGATCTAACGGCAGGCTGGGTGCACAAAGAATCTTTAGAGCAGCAGTAAGGAGTCATTACACCTATATCTCTTTAAGAAAAGCATTATGGACTTTAAAAGGGCCAATCACTTATCACATTTGTCGTAGTAAGTGTGATGGCGATCTATCGCCTAACTCATATTCCGTCAGTAATTTTGTACACGTTTCTCATCCGAGGTAGTGGTTCTTTGGATAATAACCGGTTCAGTTTACCATATGCTTCTGATAGTACTTCATCTATGAGATCGCACACCTCAGTTGCTACCTCAGTAAGCAAAATTCCAAGCACAAACGAGTACTTCAAAGCCTGGTAGCAAATGTTTTTGAGAACGAACTATACCTGAATCTGTACAGACAATATACGTAAACAACTCTCAGTAAAAAGAGGAACATTGATGGAAGTTAGGGTATTTAACTCCGTTAAATCACTTAACATGGTCACAATCAAACGAGTACATCCCATCAACGATGCCCTCTCGATTAATATATATACACACAAAATATGTCATAAAAAAACATCCATTGATGCTAAGTATGTGTACAGTGATATTCCATTAAAAATTCACGTGAAAAGAAAGAAAGTCAACAGTGAGAAACAATAACAATGACTTACAGCCTTTTGTGATGGTTTAAAATTCCATTTCATTAACGAATGTGTATCAGCAGCGAAATATACAGTGTATTCACGATCTCTAACTGGTTTCATAGTTTTAATTTTCTCACTTTTCGCCAATGCCAAATTCGCATTTGTACCAGCCCCTACTTTCTATTTAGAAAAATATACATACAGAATAAAATAAAATAAAGGGATTATCACTGAAAAAAAATTGGTAAAAATGAAATATTCATAAAAGTATATGCAAATATTGAAGAAGGTGAATGCTCTTTGGTGTTATTGAGGTTCACTGAGACAAACGATTTAGTCCCAGAGCTTTCATTGTCAGTTTAGATAACATTATCAAGTTTTACTTCATGAAGAAACGAATTTCTTAGTTATCTCCACAAATGTTAAATCAATTCGTCCTGATGAATTTGTCTGTAATAATTTGTCGTTATAGGTTTGTTTTCATTTATGTCTGTAGCCAAGTTGGCTGTTTTGTTTGGTTTATCTCTGACTATGTGGTTAATTGATCGTTTTTGTATGATTTGATAAAGTCTATATCGATGAATTTATTAATTGTCGATTGACCTGAACACGAAGCTACTAAAAATCCCTTGATGTTCATCGAAAGGTTTTCTTGATCCAAAACTTCGATGTTTTCTCAGTTTAACTGATAGATTATGTTCATGTATGTGTATGAAAGGGGTGTCCATTTTGCAAATTATGTTGTATTTGTTTTCTTACACTGTTGTGTTTTTCAGTATGTATAAAATGGTATGAAGTGATTGCATTAATATATGAACGATATAGATTCCGAAGGGCTACAAAATCCTTTTGATATTTTCTGAGATGTTTTCCAGATATGGTAGGACTATATATTTCCTGGTTTATGAAGTTAATTTCGCGATGATGAATCGGTTCTCCAGGCACTTCATAATGAAGTTACTGTGGTACCGACCATTTAAGCAAAAAACAGTAATATTATTATGACTCTTATTTTACAATAAATCGAAACAATGAATACATTATCCTAGCTTAAGCTTAGTTGTTTTGTAAATCTAAATCCTGATTATTAAAATCTAGTGGTAAAAAAGACATCACTTTATTCTGTTACTAGAAAAATAGAAGTGACTAGTGATTGGTTATTTCGTGAACCTCTCTTTCACATACTGTTAATTATTTGTTAACCGACAACTGATATGCATAATCACATTTATTCGAATATTTCGCCTGTGAGTGAAATAATAAAGTTGGATATTAGTTAACAGTGGGGCCTAGAAGGAGTGTTTTTTCCTGTCTGGATGTACCTGCATCTGAATATATTGACGTTTACTATGGGACTCAAAGCCAGAACCTAAATAAAACAAAACGCGTGTCCTGAATCCCACTGTTAGCCCCAAACCAACTTTAACAAAGAACTTGTAACTAGATGTTGATACCGAAGCAATCCGCCTAGGATACACATATCCCAAAAAAGACTGATAAACTCCAGACCCTAACGTTCTAGACTCGAACCTCGCCTCACCTACTTTGGTTAAGGCGACCAGGTAGTATCATCACCACTTCCCGCACTTAAAGTTTGGCTTATACGCAAGTATCTGATGAATGAGTTAACTTTAAATGTCATTGACCTAACAAACAGGAAAATATAAATCCTTACAATATGTGAATAACAGTTTTAAGTTACCTAACACATATACTCAGTCAGTTGGTTAGTGAAATTATATCTCGGGAAGTTTGGCTTGAGAACTATAAAGGCCCAGTCCTGTCAGTAAAACTACCACTCTGAACCATTTCAATCATTTCAGCGCTTTAACAAATTAATCGGGACTGTCATCACTTTTCTTTACGTGGAATCTCAGAAATGGCAACTTTTCACTTGAATTTCCATTGTGAATCGATCAATATAGTAAACCAGAGCGGCCAGTCAAGAACAAAGAAAACAAACCAACCACTGAAATTCAAGAACATAGGAACAGGTGGGTACAGTACTTTGAAGAACTCTTGAACAGACCAACCCAACTGGACCCACCGGATATCGAAGTAACATCTACACACCTTTCTACAAACACCACCCCACGGACGATAGAGGAAATCAGGATGGTCATCAGATAAATTAAGAGTGGGAAAGCGGCAGGACCTGACAATATATCAGCCGAAGCACTGAAGTCAGACATAGAGGTAACCGTAAACATGTTCCACGTTCTGTTCAGAAAGATTTGGGAGGAGGAACAAGTGTCACCAGATTGAAAATAGGGGTAACCCACTTAGGTACCAAGAGATCTTGGTATTTGTTAGAACTACAGAAGTATCCCACTACTGTCAATGCCAGACAAAGTTTTAAACAGTTACTGAACAGAATAAAAGATTCAGTAGACGAACAATTTCTTGATCAACAGTCTGGATTCCGTAAGTATTGCAACACTACGGATTGTTAAACAAACAATTTAGTGAAACGAATCACTATGCATCAACTTGCTCAGTTATGAGAAAGCATTCAGGAATGCGGATAAAAAACATTGTGAGATCATCTTCGACACCGAGGAGTGCCTAGGAAGATCACCACAAACATTCAGAGCTCATAAAAGGAATCGAATAGCAAAATTGTGCATTGAGGAAAGCTTAAAAATGCACTTCAAGTAAGGAATGATGTTAGACAAGACCGCCTACTCTCATCCTTCGTTTTTCTTCTGGTTGTTGACTGGATTATGAAAACTTCCAAACCTAAGGAGAAACGTGGAATACAGTGGACACCTTGGACACAACTAGATGATTTGGACTTTACAAATGAATTACACCTATCCCATACACAGAAACAAATGCATTCGATAACAGCCAGTGTAGCATTGGCTTGCGCAGAGATAGGCTTTAACACTCACAAGCGAACGTTCAAGGTCCTGAAATACAACACAATGAACACTAACCAAATCACACTTTATGGCAAAGCTCTGGAAGAAGTGAAATCTCTTACGTACCTAAGCAGTACCATTGATAAACAGGAAGGATTTGATCCAGGCGTCAAAGAATAAATTGCAAAAGGGAAACATTCGTACGACTGAAGAATATCTCGAACTTAAAATAACTATTTATCAGCCAAGACCAAGTTCGAAATTTTCAAAATCAATGTTAAAACAGCTCTACTATACGGAGCTTGAACTTAAAGTACTACTGAAACCATCATCAAAAGGTACAGGTAATTATAAACAGTTGTCTACGTAAGATACTCCAGATTAATTCGACAGACACGGACAGGAATAATCTACTCTTGAAGAGAACAAACCAACTATTAACTGAAGAAGAGATCAGAAAAAGACGCTGAAAGTGGATGGGGCACAAATTGCGGGAATCATAAAACTGCATCACAAATCAAGCCCTAACTTGGAATCCTCAAGGCAAAAAGAATAGACAGATTAAGGAACACATCTGATAGGAAATCGGAGGAAGACATCAAAAGAATGAGTAGCACTTGTGAACAACTGAAAAGAACGTAGAAATATGTTGATCGGAGAGTCCTGGTCAGCCGCCTATATCCCAAGAGTAACAGACCTAAGTATGAGACTCCTCAGCAGCACACACTCGTGACCCCACTATCCATCGAACATATGACCTTTATGTCTCTCACTAAGCACTTAGTCGTTACACAAATAGGTTAACATCTAGTGATTTACATACATAACTTTAATCAGTTTGCGGCATTGGTCAACTACTAGTGCTATGATGTGTGCTACTTATGTAGACATAAGTAGTATATGATGTTACTCGTGAATAGAATGTCTGGCAGCAGAGAGAAGAGAAGATCGAGCAGTAAAGAATGAAGACAGAATGCGATTTGTATGAAAATGCAAGAACAAAGGAATTCTGAGTCATTCGAGACAATTGATGGACATTTTGCAAATTGGGCATTTAATATATGGTTGTTAGATTTTACTAACTAGTTCTGTAATTTGTTGTTAAATACATCCGATTGTCCCCATTGGTGTTCTTGTTCACTACAGTGCTATTGGCAAGTAATTTACTCTACACTAACTTGATTAAACTCGACTGATCACGGCTTTTAACAAGAACTCAGGGAATCATCTCGCGAAACTAGTCTCTAGTGAACACGTTTGGATTCGGGTGAAAAAAAGCAAACGCAAGCATAAATAATCGACTTTTCTTAATTGCATTCGGAATGTGACCAGCAATGGAATACAGGAAGTGCATTTCGCCTACTGCTAGCCATAATCCACATATACTAGAAAAATTAACATCGAGGCATCTACTCAGGATGCACATATGCCAAAGACTAAGTTTCAATTCTGAATACCAACAACGTGATCCACAAACCCTTATGAATTATCATTTGTCGTTAGATTCCTTATATCACCACTAACGAACTACACCTGTTTTCAAAGTATGGTATGAAAATTCTGACCTAATAGACTGAAATTAAGTCGAATAAACTAAATGATCTTGACGATGCTGGTAAACAGACGCCTAAGACATCTTAAATAGTGATTGATAAATTCTAGGTATTTTCACGCATGATATCACTTTATTCAGTAGTTGGAAATAGTTGATATGATACCCTGCTTGAACCAGGTGTTGCGCTGGCTGACACCTGCCAATAAAAAGCACCTGTAATCTCAAGGAAAATGGTGTCACTCAGTTTTGCGGTATAAGAGGTAACCACTGAGCTATCCGGACCGGGACTGACCCCTTTAGGGCTGAGATATTCGCAAGTGATTAATCAACGAGTAGTAACTAATATCATGTTTGTCTCGTCCTTTAAGTGCTGATCGAATTCAAGTGATTAAGTTTCAGTGTGCCCACTATTCTAAGTGCCTTAGTATCGCGCCTATTATGTCGAGATGTTAGGTGGTGGTAGTAGTAAACAAAAATAAATTAATAAATTAATTTATAATATATTTTAAGATAAATTATCTTTGCTAAACATAGATTCTAAGTTATAACTGTTTCTATGCTTACGAACAGATGGTATCGTCTAAGATATTTATCTTACATCATAAAATTTATTACAAAAAGAAACTAAAAAACACAAATCTAATCCACTTACACTACAATATAATCGATATAATGGAACAGTACCATATCCGACACCAGCCATAAATATACCAAACGATAATGTATAGTATAAGTACGTGCGTTTTTTGAAAGTATCACGAGTAATGAATGGACTACGTTTATTAATCGTACTATAATTTACTGTTAACTTTGAGAATGGACATCTTAAAAGATGATTTGAACTCTTGGAAAAATTAAATGATGACAGAAATACCATTATGAAATCGAAAACTATTGTCGATTTGGTTTATAGATTTCAATTTTGTTCTTATTCAGAAAATATTGCTGTTTTTATTGATAGTGATAATCATTTTTAAACTAGAAACTATGTCGTCAGAGAAAAAAAACAAAAGAATACAACAAAAAAGAGAGATCAAATAAAAATTCTACAAATTACAGTAAAGTATAAATCAAATGAAATAATGCAAGAAAAGACATACGAGAAAAGGTTATACACTATAAATGATGATGAAGAGATATGTAAATTCATTAATACATTCACCAGGTGAGCTACAACTTAAGTGTAATCACGGCTAATGATCCTACCAAGTTGCTCAAACTGAAGTAGGTGGGGCGAGATTTGGATCTAGAACTTAGTAACTGAAAGTTGAACTCTTTAACTACTAAGTCACCGCTCTATTTAAGTGATTATACAACTGTTTCATAATAGTTATATTCATACATAACTCTGTACTTAATGTTTGCTCTCAAAGATATCAAGGAAAGTCAAAAGAAATTGCAATCAAATATATTGAAACGAATTTCAGGACTACGGTGATTGAAAGTAGTGTTATTCTTAAATTCTCTGGTACGGCCAAGGGTGGCAAAAACTCGATCACCTACTTGAAATGCTCTCAAACGACCGCGCGATTACAGCCCCCGCTAGAGAAGTCCTATTCACTATCTTTACATGGAGGGGTTGTTGTTTTTACAGAAGCGAGAAGACGAAAAACGAACGTCCGGAGCTTGAACCGGATTATTGAATACGAAGAATCTACATAAGGGAGTTGTAAAACCTTGATTCCGAACTAGTAATTTACATGGATTCCAATTTCCTGAAGGAATAGCTGGTTTACGAACCTGTTTTGGTCACCAGCTACCATGGTACAGAATCTTCTGATGTCGTTTCACCGAATGGTATACTAAACCTTCAGGTTAAAGACCTGGTCAGTATTCCGTTAAAAAACAATCTTCCAAGGTCTGAAAGCTCGTGCAGTATCCCAAGCCACTTATTCATTCACTATATATCTAAACACAAAAATTGGTACGATACGCCAAAATATATGCGCCATACAAATCACTCGATTTGTGTGAGGACTGGAATACTACCCAGGTGGTATTCTTGAGGAGCTACACCCCAAGCCTTTGACCTAGAGGTCGAACCCATAAGGCAGTGGAGCAACGTCGAGAGATGCAGTCCCATGGTAGTCTATGACCAACGATTGGTTCATACGCCATTTGTTCCCCCAGGATCCTGGAGTCCATGTGCACCATTGGTCTGAAATCACAGATTTTCGGCTCCCCTAAGTGGATTCTTTGTATCCGCTAACCCAACTAAAGCACTTTTCGTCCCCTCAATTTCGTAAACAACCGCGCCGCGAGAATGCAGTGAGTAGGACTTTCCTGGTAGAGGCTATTTACGCGTGGCCATATGAGGTCATTTCGAGAGGAAGAGCGGACTATCCCTAACCTCGGCCGTACCAAGGCATTTGGAGGCAACTGAAAATCCCAAGGAAAATTGATTAAAAAGGATTATTTTGATTGAAAAATTGGGTTATAAACGCTTATGTTAACTTGATAAGTATCTCATAGTTCTTGCGACAGTTAGGTTATAACTAACATCACCATCATTAATTTTAAACAAAATCATCAAAGGGAGTTAATTTGTTTTGTTTACCAGTTTGATTGAAATCATTTTTTTTAATAGAGAATCATACTAAGACCCCAAATGCCCTGGTACGGTCGAGAGTGGGGAGAGTCCGCTCCTCCTCTCGAAATGCTCTCACATGGCCACGCGTATACAGCCCCTGCCAGGGAAGTCCTACTCACTGCCTTCTTGTGGCGGGGGTGTTGTTTACGAAAATGAGAGGACGAAAAGCGAATGTCCGGCGCTTTAACCGCATCCCAAACCAATGGTGCACATGGGCTCCAGTATCCTGCGGGAACAAATGGCGTATGAACCAATCGTTGGTCACCGGCTACCATGGGACTGCATCTCCTTACGATGCTCCACTGCCTTGTGGATCAGATCTTCAGGTCAAAGGCTCGGGGCGTGGCCCCCTAAGAAAACCACCTGCTTCGGTTTGGGCACCCGAGCAGTATCACAGCCCTCACACATATCAAATGAGATCTGTGTGGCGCATATGTATTTGTTGCCTCCTTGTACAAATGCCTATGTGTTAAAAATAAATAAAAAAACCCTTATATTTAGTTTGGATTATGTTTCATTGTTAAAATGTTACAAATAATTAAAAAAGTCAGTGTTAACCTTTGAAAAGTAAATTCACCAAACATGTATCACTGGATAACCAGAAACATCAAAACTACAGACGTCGTAAACCTTTTATAATTGAAATAGTCTAAAGACAAAACAAATAGAACACAGAAATAAGTACTCACCCTTTTACCACAGTTATAAACATTCTGTGGATCTGCAGCTAATGTTTAACTACTTAACCTTAAGCCGAAACAATGCGGATGCAATAGTGTGAAGTTCGATAAGGGGAAAAGCCGTTTCTTCTTCAGACTGATGACTGGTACTTAATAACAGATTGTATATGCAGTTCAGTTCGGTTTGACCACCTTCCAATACAAATCTATTCAGAAACAACAGATGAACGTACGTAAAACTCAATGGAAGTGAGAAACAAATGTCTCGATATCTTGATTTTTATAAATCCTAATTGCATTGAAATAACTTCAACAGAATATCACTCACCAAATTTTAATCAACAACTTATTGTATGAAGCCAATTTACAAAGGTTGTAAGGTGAACATGTCATAATCAAAAAAGATAGCTGATTGATTGAATAATATCCTTGGTGTTTTATATAACAGAGACTCAGAAATAAAACGCAATGGTTAAAAGTTAGGCGATGAGATTTATTTATTATTATTTTTTATTTTAACGCATAGATATCGGTACAAGAACGCACCAAATACATATGCGCCACACAAACCTCAATTGATTTGTGTGAGGGCTGTGATACTGACCAGGTGCCCAAACCGAAGCAGGTGGTTTTCTTAGGGGGCCACACCCCGAGCCTTTGACCTGAAGATCTGATCCACAAGGCAGTGGAGCATCGTAAGGAGATGCAGTCCCATGGTAGCCGGTGACCAACGATTGGTTCATACACCATTTGTTCCCGCAGGATACTGGAGCCCATGTGCACCATTGGTTTGGGATGCGGTTAAAGCGCCGGACATTCGCTTTTCGTCCTCTCATTTTCGTAAACAACACCCCCGCCACAAGAAGGCAGTGAGTAGGACTTCCCTGGCAGGGGCTGTATACGCGTGGCCATGTGAGAGCATTTCGAGAGGAGGAGCGAACTCCCCCCACTCTCGACCGTACCAGGGCATTTGGGGGCTCTTATTTAATGCTCTATTTCCAACTACAAACTAATGTGACAACCTGGGCCAACAAATACACAATTTTTTCAAGCTCTATGTTAATTCTAAATGACTAGGTGATATATATTTACGATGGGATATTATAGATATAAGTAGAAATGAAAATTAAAAATAATAGTGGTCAGACCGAGAAATAACTCAAAACCAACGCATTAAGTGTTAGTTCAAGATGTATTTGAAACTAAACCTTTAGATTGAAGTTTCTATGACAGTAAAAACAAGACGCATAATTAAATTCGATGACGCAGATACATTTATTTCCCACACTTTTTATAGATCTATAATACGTTTCAAAGCTGTCTGGTTCTTTTCTACTCGTATTCTTCTAATCATATTGAATTCAGATCTGAGATTCGCATTTTGAAACAAAAAACTTCGCTCCAAAACTGTTTTACATTGACATCTTTCCCACGCTAATGGCACCTATCACGTAACTATTCAGGTACACGAACTTCCAGAGTATTCACAATACCGGGCCTACATCTCCAAAGTTACTTCTACACGTTTTGTATAATCTATACAGAGAAGTAAAAAATGACATTTAAGATGTAACTGGTAGCACTCTTGTATCCGATGGGTATGATAATTCCTGTATTCAAAATTGTATACCTCTGCAAACAATCAATGCAGTTACCTGACCAGAACATAGTCCCTACATTTTTAAAGGTAGGGTAGTAGTCATCTGACCAGTGTTTTAGTAGTTGGAGTTATTGCTGAATGGCTGCGTTGTTAGCTGACTGGTGCTCACTAAGCAAGAGCCACAGTACGGTTTGGCTGAAGTTGCTAGGTTAGTGCTTTGAAAGTTTCACTATTATTAGACGTAAAAGCAAAAAGTTATGAGGTAGTTCTTTATGTATACTAATACCTTACTACACTGGCGGAAGTAGGCTTTGTCGCTTTAAAGATGAATACATCACAGCAACTTTAAGGTTATATTCAGATCACAAATAAAGCAAGTATTAATGAATGTTACATTGACTAGGTATAATTCGTCTACCAACACCCCTAGTTCATGAAGTTTATGTCTGGGATTGTGACCATATGTTGGAAAGATTTCAGCAACATTTGTTCTTGTGGCCCCTTTAGACAAGAAGCCATTAACTATAACCGCTTTTTACCGTTTTCATTGCTGACTTTTAGCACAACAACCACTCCCTTTGATTCGGTCAAATTTTATTTATATGACTATTTCCCAATAGTTCGATGGCTCTAAGTTACTCCTTCTTACAGATCTTAATTTCACTTTTAAAAATCTATGAGTGATGGTCGGCATTGTTGTCAATCCCTTTATTGACTCCATTTAATTATTCGTGTGTAAACCCTGAGAAACATCCACTAAGTGCTCTTGATAGAAACCATAACTTGTTTTAACCCACGCTAATACTAAATCCACAATTTATTTATCTAACTTTTAAATCAGTGTGACCTATTTCTACCCCAATATTTGCATTAATAGAATGAAATATAACTTTTTGGTGAGTTAAAAGTGTTTTTCTACGGAGGCTAATAAGCTCGCAATGCTATTTATATTTCTTTGGTGAGAAAGAGAAACACAATTTTAAACTTGTTTGGAATGACTATTATCG